GGATCATGGGGGTTTCGTATTTTTTATGAACTGCTAAGTTTGTTCCTGATGAAGTAAGGCCCACATTTATAAAGATCTCGGATCATGGGGGTTTCGTATTTTTTATGAACTGCTAAGTTTGTTCCTGATGAAGTAAGGCCCACATTTATAAAGATCTCGGATCATGGGGGTTTCGTATTTTTTATGAACTGCTAAGTTTGTTCCTGATGATATAAGGTCCACCTTTACAAAGCGCTTGGGTCATAGGGTTTCGTATTTTTTTAATAACTGCTAAGTTTGTTCCTGATGACATAAGGTCCACTCTTACAAAGCGCTTGGGTCATAGGGTTTCGTATTTTTAATAACTGCTAAGTTTGTTTCTGATGACATAAGGTCCACCTTTACAAAGCGCTTGGGTCATAGGGTTTCGTATTTTTTAATAACTGCTAAGTTTGTTCCTGATGATATAAAATCTATCTTTACAAGGCGCTCGGGTCATAGGTTTTCGTATTTTTTAAATAACTTCCATATGTGTGTTTTATCTTGATCAGCATTATTTTATACAAGAATGAGATTAAAATAAATCTTGCTTTCTTCCCGTTTTATCCTTCCGTAATTTATAGAAATAAGAGCTGAGTGATCTCGGACCTAACCGGTTCACATTCCACTAGTGATTAAGGTAGAGGTCATCCGACTTAACAACTACTGCGTGTAGAGATATTATTCTGTTTTGTTTTAGCAGCCCATGTAATATTTTGCTTCTGTTCGTTTTGTTTTGCTTTTTTCAACATTTCAAAGTATGTATTAATTAAGGCTCGGGTTAGAGCGCATTCAATATCTTAATTCTGTATCGTTCACCCACCTGATGAAACCATCAGGCGAGGTGTACACTTTTATAATATATAAAAACAATGCCAGATCTCTCGCCTGTCATTTAAATTTGATATAAATGACAGTAGAGATGGTTCCCACAACTCCTCTTCATTGCAAGAAAGATACCTTCTTTGATGATATATCGTCCTTGAACTCTATATACAAACCCATATTTTCTAATTTAGATACTTTTGAAATATTGCCCTAAATTAGGCTTACCGTTCTACTCCCGTTAAAAGCATGTTCACAGTTATTAAACATGTAATAATAATATAATAACGGGAAATACAACGTTGTTCTATTAGAATTAATCTGTTTAAAAACAGTTTTCTTTAAAACTGGCCGTAGTATAAACAGAAGATACTTTATCATTGTTGAAAACTGGGACAAAGGAATAAATGGAATTAAAAGTGAACAATACCCCACCCAACATCATCGGCTTTTATCCGTTATCAAACTTTTCAGTGTACGTCGAGATACTTTTAATTAACTAATAAGGAACATATATATATATATATATATCAAAACTATATAAGGTACTTTTATTTATCTAATTATAGTTTGCTACAACGAAATGTAATCAACAAAAATATAAGTTTATTTCAATTTTGGATTAGGCCTCAAGTTGTGTGATACATGTTACGCCATAATTATTTCTAGGATTACTACTTGTTACTATTCGCGATGGAGTTACTTAACCTGATGAAATATTACAGTTTTGCGCAAACCCGAAGATTAACGAACAATTGCGTGGCATTGAATAAACTACAGAGTTCAGACGTTGTACTCGATAATTTGTGTGAATCTTTATGGAGAACTGCGCTTTTTTATGTTCTTTATTACGCTAGTCCCCAGGCTACCACTATGCTGTATAGTTTTACGTAACGTATTATATGCCACCTTCTAAGCTAACGCTATGGTATAGTTGTACTTGATACATTACATAAATCATCAACTATTTGAATCAGACATAATAACATACACTATTAACATTAGCATATGCATACATATCAGGGTCAGCCAAAAGTTCCCCATTGGTTACACAGCGAGCGCAATGCCCCTGTGCATACATTTTCATTCGCCTCAGAGATTTTTCTTAGGTATTAGTAAATGTTCCCAGTTGCACAACGGTATGTATGAAGACATATATACCGCAAAAACTGGGTTTCGATACTCATGGAGGGCACAGCACAGATAGCCCATTGTGTAGATTTGTGCTTAACTACAAATAAACAATATTATTAATAATATTTTATGTAGCTAACATCAACATTCTATTTGTTAGTCCATCTAAAAACTTTATGTGGACCAAAGAAAGTTAAGTTTTGTTTGTTTATTTTGAATATCATGCAAAGCTACACGAGGGCTATCTGCGCTAGCCGTCCCTAATATAGCAGTGTAAGACTAGAGGGAAGGCAGCTAATCATCACCACCCACCGCCAACTCTTGGGCTATCATGCAAAGCTACACGAGGCTATCTGCGCTAGCCGTCCCTAATTTAGCAGTGTAAGACTAGAGGGAAGGCAGCTAGTCTTCACCACCCACCGCCAACTCTTGGGCTACTCTTTTACCAACGAATAGTGGGATTGTTCGTCACATTATAACGTCCCCACGGCTGAAAGGGCGAGCATGTTTGGTGTGACGGGGATTTGACCCTCAGATTGCGAGTCGAGCACCCTAACCACCTGGCCATGCCGGGCCAGAAATTTAAGTAAAATGTACATAAACAAGTAAGGATTTCTGCACCTACTCATTTTCTTATTCGAATTATTTACCTATAAAAATACATTTGATATTTCAGCTAAACAAAAAAGGTCTTTAGTTTTACTGAAGATTTTATGATTGAGAATTTGAAGTTATTGACCAGCGACGTAGTGATAGAATCTCTAGGTTAGCCAAGTCCACAATTCCCAGGTATGTTGGTAGCCTTGAGATTAACACACCGTTGATAAGTGTTACGTTCGCTCTGTTGAAGTAATCCTTTGTCTCTCACTGTTATAGTTAACTTGATGAGGTAACTTTTACGCTAACACTGTGCTATATTTAGCTTGGTGAGATAACCTTTAGACTAACGCTGTGCTATATCTAACTTGTTGATGTAACCTTTATATTATCACAGTGTTATATTTAGCCTGTTAAGGTGACCTTTAGACTAGTGCTTTGTTATATTTAGCTTGTTGAGATGACCTTCAGACTAGCGTTGTGTTTTATTTACTTGTTGAGGTGACCTTTAGACTATCAGTGTATTGTTGAGATGAGCTTTAAACTATCACTATGTTATGTATAACTTGTTGAGGTGACCTTTAGACTAGCGTTGTGTTATATTTAGCTTGTCGAGGTTGTTGTCTAATCTGTGCAGTATTTAATCCTCAGATTGTCACTGTATATAAGTTTAAATCTGTTCATTTTCGCTACATACAAGCATTAATTTATACTGAAATAACTTTCGTTGTGAGTGTTGGACCTATTGCGTTAACCT